GTTAATTTTGATAAGCAGCGTAACGGCATGGTAAAATTACATTTTTCATGGGAAATTGACACAAAATTTCGGTACTTGAAGCGCTACTACTTGCCGAGACAAACTCGTTAGTTCAACGAAATATTAAATAATTTATAGTTATACTTTTTTAGATTCCAAGCGTAGCTATTGGTTTTATAATGCTGTTTATTTCTCTTTTTGTTCTAGTCTGTGAACACAATTTTTCCAAATAAACTTGCTCCGATTTTTATGCGTAGCAGTTGTTTTGATTGGTCAAGTTGTCTAGATTCTACTTTAAACATGCCATTTTTTTGATTTTCGACGCCATTTTTTCATATAAAAGCACTTAAGTAGGAAAAAACGTAGGAAAATGTACAATTTCACGATTTCATTATTTTATAAAAACGCGGACGTTTTCTACCAGAAAAAAAAAGGTTTAATTGAAAAATCATAATACACATTTTTTGTTGCCTTTTTAATTTATTTTTTTACGGTATCATCGTAAAAACTTTTGAACCACTTTTGAGCTTTTCAGGAATTTTAATTTTCTGGTATTTTTTTTTGCTCTTATTTGTATTTAAATACACGTAAAGATTTGAAACTTGATAATAATACTTATTTTGGAGTTACCTAGACGTGGTAATATTTCCAAAATCATCGATCGAATTTTTTTTTTGTAATAAGCGTTTTGATATAATAATAATATAATTATAATAATTTTGATATAAACGAAAATAGCAAAAAAAAAAAAAATTACTGCACTTTAAATTATGTATTACCGAACTGAGCTCGGAATCTTTTCTCGTCAAGCAATGGTTTATCGTTGATTACAGATATAAATGAAATAACTTTATGTATCTTACCTTCCCAACTTCCTACTTACAACAGTGGCCGCTACCATCTCCAGTATCAGCTCTTTTTTTAATTCAGTCTATAGTAAAATAAAATATGTGACTTGCGAATATTATAATTTATTTATAAGAATTGATATTTTTAATGCACACTACAATTTATAATATTGATAGAAACAAAAAAAGAAACCTTTTTTAATTAGAAAAAAAATTGAGCACTAATTTTAAAAAAGAGAAAACTGCAGCAATTTATACTTATAAAAAAAAATGGCGATGATTGAGCTAATTTTTTTTAGGAATTTAGCAATAATGGTATAGTGCGTTACATCAAAAGATTAATGATTTCCAACCACTGATAAAATGCATTTAAGATCACTCGAACTTAAAAGGAATTCTTATACTATATTACGGTTGTTGCGATTTCAGAGTGCATACTGAGGGTGGTTCTTATCGTATAAGCGAAGGAGGAAAGTTAGATAATTTTGAACGAGGAATATCCCCCCACATTGTGTTTGTTAATGTATTAGAGTAATTTTTGGTGATAATTGCTTCCCCTGGATGATGAACCACTTAACGTACTGTAAAAATGTTTAATAATGACCCTACTTTCTTTTGGTCACTTTAAAATATTTTTACTAGTTTGTCGTATTTCATTCGAAAAACTGTAGCATTCACTACAAACTTGACCATACTGTAAATATTTGAAGGAGTCCAGCTATCATTGCCAAACTTCACAAAAATTACCCTCTTATATTGACAAACCAAACGTAGAGGGGAGAGCTCTCAATCAGAAATATCTAAATTTGTTTTATTCGTCCGTAGTATTATATTAAAGACCGCCCCATCTAGTGTATACCTAATAACAATTGTAAGTAAATAATTACCTACCTTACATAGTTATATAATATTATAATACACTGTTTTTTTAATTCGTCGAAAGAACCATCACGCGGAATAAAAAAATTTCCATCGGTAATATTACGGTCTGTTGGTTTTAACCACGTAAACAGGTAAAACGTTTCGGTCACGGGGTTAAAAAATAATGCGGCAGGTATATTATAATTACCGTCTTCGAGAGAGTTTCAATCTCGCGGGTCGAGAAGTTTCGAGTACGTAATAAGTAGTTAAGTTTGCGCGTAGTCCCGCGGTGTTATGTACGAGTAATAATAACGCATATTATTATTATTATCATGAGTACACGTCATAAAATTCAGTCGTCCGGCGCGGATATTCGGACTTGAGATTAATAATCCCGTCGTGTTCCGACAGAAGGATCGGGTCTGGGGTTATTTTTTTTGCCTCGCGCGTATGTTTCCCTTTGCCGAAATCAGTCCGGGAAATTCGCACGCGCCGCGTTCGCTAATTAAACGCGGTCAGCGAAATGAAAAAGAAAAAAACCACACGTGCCGCCACTGAGTGTACCGCGCTATAAAAACCGCCGTGGCTAAATGATTCAACTATTACGCTTTTGACATAATAATATAATATATAACAAGACGTGATAACAATTACTACCGTTCGCCCGTCATCTAAAAGCGTCGCTGGAAATATATTTTATTCTACCGGGCCCGAAAGACACACGGTGTCCTCCTCACGGTTCATCACCGGAGTTATGTTTTTACGTATCGTGGCTGATGTGTAAGTCTTACGAGAGTGAACGATGTGGACGATTCGTCCAACATAGAGTTCACATAAAAACGTCGTTCTTTGCGTATTTGATAATATTTCAGGGTTTAGAGAACAATTTATCTAGCATAATCTTTTGTAAATAATGAATGAGTAATAAACACTAATTCGTTGTATTTTTACTATTAATTTTAATATTGAGGTACCTGAAAAAAATATTTTTCGATTCATTTAACAACCATATTTTTTTTTTTTTTTTTTATGTATAATTTTGATGAAAAAAAATATGTTAAATTAAAATGCGTATTATTGATTATTTCGTACATTTATCTAGTTTTTAAGAGAAGGTAAGAAGAATATTTATAGGTTTTTTTTTAGAGAATATTAGGATCATATTTTTATGTTTTAAGAGAATATAAATCCTACTATACTTTTCACTATTACTTTCGCCAAATACTTTTCACAGAAAGTGTCCTCCCTGGCGGCTCATTTCGGTTGACCGCAACCTCTGACAGCTGATTACTGGGCCCTAAATAACCAATTTCTACCCGCGACGGCTTATTAAAGGACCCGAGACCACTAATTTACAGTTTATCAGAACACCTAAATCATATCTTGAGTTGTATCAGACTGAATTAGTTAGTTAGATCTTCTGATTACTCACTTATCCCTCCTAAACTTTACAGATTTGCCTAACTCATTTTTATCGTGGCATACCCAGAGATTTCTCGGTATTCCGGTAGACTAGTTCAACACTACTACATATTTGTAATTAGTCGTTTCCCGAGAAAATACTGCAGTATATTAATTATTTCAAACTGTATATCGTATATTATACGATAAAAAAATTAATATAGTAAAAAAAAAAATTAATAAAACGGTTAATACTTGTAAATAAATAAAATTAAATAAATAAATGAATAAATGCGTTGCCCGGAGCATTATGATAAATTGTTACATTTTTATGTATACATTTTTTATTTATATATTTATTTACTTTATTTGTATATTGTACATTGAAAATTGTATAATATTATTAAACGTCCATAATTATCACATTATCATGTATTATAATATTTCTGTTATAATTATCGTTATTATTTTTTTAAATTTATAGATAAACAATCTAGTTACAAAAATAAACACAATAAACATATTCAATAAGGGTTCGTCGGGTTTTGAAAATAGTGCGTTAGACGACGAAAATGACATATTGCACGTGATTTGTGTCGGGATGACGGTCATCCGTATTCAGCGATTTTTTTTTATTTATGACTTTCACACGATTGTTGAAAAAAAAAACTCTATGTACCACCACATTATGGGCTTGGTTTATTGATTTCACGTTGATTTCGGTTTTCATAAAAAAAAAAACATGTCAAAATAACGAATTTCCTTAATAATATATGTTTGAAATATTCCTAATATAATTGACCCTCGTTCAAATTTGGTTGTTTTGTCAAATTTGTCAATTTTACAAGACGTACTTTGACGTTCAATACATTTTAGTTTTTATTTTCATACATATAAACATGTATACATCGATTTGCTGTTTTATTTTTATTTTAAAAGTCTAGTTAAAAGCTATTCGTTTTTCTTGGATAAAATGTTATTTTGTTATTTATGTTGGATAAAATTTGTCTAAATTCACAACAAATAACAAAATGTCGGTTTTATTATTGGTAAATTTTAGGTTACCTTAGAAACAAGGAATGAGAAATGACCTTACCAGTTTCGAAACAATTAAATTGGCTTTCTAATAGAGATGGTCAATATTTTACTTTTAAAAAGTACCTCTGGATTAGCTTCCAAGAATTTACTATCGCACTGGCTCCCCATATCTTTTTCTCAAAAAATATACTGGTGACTAAAATATTATTAATTATTTATAAACTATAAGTTATGTATGCAGGTGATGGGTTTGAACTACATATATGCACTTATATTACTTGAAAAATATGTTCTGTTGTGAACTATATTGTGTGTATTCATACACGCGGTTAACTGCAGTGCAGTGTTGTTGAATTTAGTTGAACATTTTCGTAAACACGCTCGTATAATAATGACAAAAAAAGATGATTGATATCATTTTCAAATTAAAATAATAGGTGTATTAATTGATGAGCCATTGAGACTCTCAATAATCATTTTATCATTTTTTTTTTTTAATTTCCATGATTTATCGTTATTTTCAGTATATAAATTAAATTGTCCTATATTTCCATATTTCCTATCCATTTTAAGAATTGTCACCCAATTTTTAAAACGTATTTATTTTACGAATTATTTAGATAATATATTTTCGTATTTTTTTGTATATTTCCGTTTTTTCCGTAAATTTTTGGACGCCCACGATAACTTTAAAAAGGAAAAATTATATTCTCATTTAAATATGACGTATATAATTATATATATATATAAAAAAAAAATTTATTTCAGTTTTGTGCATAGGATAATAGGTAATTATAAAAAAAAAAAACACCCGTGAGCAGCAAAACAATGTGACTAGCGTTATATTTTCAACCTCCTATTTTGAGTATTAAGTATAGAATAATATTAAAATGTTACGTATAATATACAATGACATATCAAAGTATAGTAACTATATTTCTACTTCAACTGTACTATTTCTAGAAAAAACTTTGAAATTTGAGATAACAAAAAAAGAACTAATACTGAGGGCAGGTACAGCCACTGTTGTAGGTGGAAAGTTGGGGAGGTAAGATACATATGGTTATTTAATTTATATCTATAAGCAACGATAAACCATTGCTGAAGAAACGAGCGCAGTTCGGTAATACATAATTTGAAGAGCCATATTTTTTTATTTTTTTTTTGCGATTTTCGTTTTAATTTGATTTCAAAACGCTTATAAAAAAAAAAATTCGACCGATGATTTTGGAAATTTTAACACGTCTAGGTAAGTCCAATATAAGTATTATTATCAAGTTTCAAATCTTTACGTGTGTTTAAAACCGAATTTCAGCAAAAAAACTACCAAAAATTAAAATTCCTTAAAAGCTCAAAAGTGGTTCAAAAGTTTTTGCGATAATACTGTAAGAAACTAAATCAAAAAGGTGCATTTTGATTTTTCAATTAAACCATTTTTTCTGGTAGAAAACGTCATCCATGTTTTTATAAAATAAATAAATTTTGAAATTGTACATTTTCCTACATTTGTTCCCACTTAAGTGAATTTATTTAAAATATGGCGTCGAAAATCAAAAAAAATGACACGTTTAAAGTTCAATCTAGACAACTTGAGCTTTCATAAAACTTGCTACAAGTAAAAATCGGAGCCAATTTACAAGGAAACGCGTCCACAGACTAGAACAAAGAATAAAGAACAAAGAAAAAATAAAATTAATAGCATTGTAAAATCAATAGGTCCCTCGCTACGCTCGGCATCTAAAATTATAGATGTAAGGGTTTGAAAGTTCAAATCCCTATAAGGCATATTCTATTGATACTAACGAGAGCCACATAATCAATTAAATCTTTTAGCTTCATCGGGAGGAGGTCTGAAGGAATATGCAATGTTAAAAAATATTATTTTCTCGCAAAAACATGATGGGTCAACTCTTATTTTACCATTTATTCAATGCGCATATAAAACAACATTAGTTCCTGAGTTTGAGCTCATTACGTGCGGAAGGTGCCGTTATAATTGTTTAAAATTGGTGGATAAACTACACATATTATGTGTATAGTCTCTATTTTCGGGAAAAATTATTGTAGAAGCAGCTTATATCGTAATAATGAGGTTCAATAAACGAAGACATCGAATAAAAATATCCACTTATATAAATAACGACCAAAATGTACGTTTAATGCGCATTTTATTTTCACGATTCTCGTGTTCATAAATAAAACATCGGGACGTTAAACAAAATACTCATCGCCGTCGAAATTATAACCGGACGCCAACGTAACTGCTGTGATGTCCGTTTACCGGACTTGGAGCGCCGAAAACGTTGGTGAATTTGCTATCTATACATCCAGTGCAGTGCAACGAACGCATATAAATGTTCGGAAAATAAGAAGATTACGAAAAAGCTCGTAAAAATACATAAATAAATGTCGTGTACACGCGTTTATCACCGGGAACGAAAGAAATTAAAGGAAAATATTTTTGCCGATAAAATACCGTTCTGGGGAGTGGTATACAGGGAGACGACACAGTAATATTTCGTAATGTTTTTCTGATGTCAAAAAAATGCTTATAGTACGCACATCCATATTTGGGCAGTGGCGGATAGGCCCACCGGAAATTTGGGATTTTCTCTTTAGGCGGCCCTATCCTGTATTGGTGTATAGGGACCATAGGCGCATTTATCAAGTATCGAATTTAATTGAAGATGTATTTGCGTGATAAAGATTAAATAACAAATAAAAAAGCAATTCGACAAATTTGATATTTTTTATGACCATTACTCAGCTTCAAAAGATGTTTTTTTTGTTTCCCGTATCATTGGGAATATTGAGATTTATTTTTAGATTGGTCATAGAAATATACAGTACCGTATGTCACCAATAGGCATGATTTGGCGATGTAAACAATTTAATGATTACATTTACGATTATTTACGATTTCGGTTTACTGACTAATCAGGTTGCAGTAACTAACTCAAGAAAACGTTATCTAGTAACAGTTTCCTCGCGCTTATAATGCCAAAATATACCTAATGTGGTATTTATATACTGTTTTGTTTTAAGTTGTCACGTTGTCGTTGAATTTATTGATTGTTATTTGTTCTAATCATATTTATCGATTTCTCATTGTAGTGCCTATTGTATAGGTGCTACACAAACAAATTTAGATGCGTTATAACTTACAAAATTATAATTTTGTTTTTCAATTACCTATTATAGTTAATGTAGTGGTATAAAGTAATATATATTTTTCATTTGAATTGGACTATATTGTGTAATCAATTAATTATGTATTTCAATAAAAAAAAAAAAAAAATTATTAATAATATAACGACCGAAAATATGAGTCGGGAGCATTTACACGGAGGAAAAAATTAGAGGTATTAGGAACAACAATATGGAAATAACAAAAATCAAACAATAATCAATTAAGAATAAAATGTATGCTGCTCTCAACTTATTTTTGTGGGGGCCTTTTGTGTGTAGACCATTCAGATTACTTCCCAGTAAAAAAATATATGACTACATCGGTCACTGTGTTTGGAAAACGAGGGTATGATGAAACCTCTTACATCGTCGTTACAAATTCGCTAATATTAAGCGAATAATTATTTTTAAACAAATTCGGAACTAACGCTCTTGGCTGTGGTTAATTTATACTCCCCTTTATATCCTACCTTCCTAACTTCTCATCTAACTGGGTCCTAACCTGGGTGGGCCGCAACTCACCCGTCATACGAAGCATGTCCGTCTTTTTAAATACATTTTTATATTTTTCCGAGGGGTCGATCTTAAAATAAAAATGTATTAACCACTAAACAAACGAACTATTTTATATATTTATTATCTCCGTATATCTTTGTGGGATACCCTGTGTCTACCTGTGAATTGAAACGATTGGAACCGGAAAAACCAACGGCAACGCGGTACCTAACAATTATTTTTTAACCGCAAGAGTAAAACAAGTTTGTGACGACGTCGTCAGAGGGGACGGCACATGTTAATATTAAGACGACGTTTCAATCGCACGCCCCTTTCGATGTTGTTATGCGGTGTCGTCTAACTGTTATTATAGGACTCAATAGAGATGCTGTGACTGACACCAAAACACCTTATCGACGTCAACACCGTAAACTTTTGTAAACATATGTGCGTTAAAGGGCCTGCACGCGATCTGTTTATGAGAAAAATTCTCATGCATCGATCACTTTTTTTTCTTTTTTCGAAGAGATGAAGATTTCTTACGGGGCGGATTAGATTCGGAATTTCGAAAATTGTAATTCTAAACGATTTAATAGTCGCGTTTTAAATTTCTACTGTATGATATATGATATATATCTGATGGTGAATTTTTAATTCGAAACCGGTCGTATAATACATTTAGATATTATAGTTATAATACTCCAGGCGACGCATTTATTCAGTTATTTATTTTTTATTTTTGTGTATAAATTGTTTTTTTTATAGATTTATTTACTATATTTTGATATAATAAGAATTCATTCTTATTATATCAAAATATATAAATAATGACCGATTTTTATTATTATCAATTATTTTTAATTATTATTTAAGATTATTTTAAGACAACTTTTATCTTTTTTATGCGGTTTATTTGGTTATATAGGTCGAAATCCAATCCAAAATTGCCTCGTAAATCATGATTTGAACGAAAAAAACAAGTTTTGCGCAAGCCTTTCAAGACAAAAATTAAAACTGATTGAAAATTAAAATCCTTCACGTTTTCGATCCCAAATTAAAACTATTTACATTTTTTTTTTACGTACTGTAATTACAGATAATAAAATTGTTGTGAAAATTCGAACTAGAAATTCCAGAGGTACAATAATCATGGTGTGTCTTGGGAAATTTTGTGAACATTTGAATGCACATCAGACAATGAAGGACAAAATATATTCGTGTGTATATTCAAACATATCTAATTTAGCCGTCGCTAATTATTACGTTAATGGAATTTGACGAATCATTGTTGAAATATACTTGCATATAGTATGCCGACACATGATAAAATCTAAAAAAAAAAAATCACACAAAACACGTTATCTCGAACTCGCAACACAACAATCATCGATTCACTAACGAAAGTGTACACAAAAGAATCGTTACGAACAAAAGACAAACGTGTTATTATTATTTTTGATCAACTCATCAATGGTTACGAAAACATTACTTTGCGTTTAGATTATCGTTGAGTGATTTATATTTTATTAAACACGCATTTTTCTACTAACTATAATCACGCCATTATATTATGAATATTCCTTATCGTTTATTAAATTAATAGCATACACGTTACGCACAGTGCAATGTGTCGGTGAACCGAAAATTCAATTATTGCTAGTATTGTAGATATAATTTACCTATTTTTCATTGACAATCCGTAGTTTTACGATAAAAAGTTACAAGCGGGACCATCAAACGAAATTATTGTTCTATTTTTATCGACGTGGACACAAAGCGATCCCTGTTCGCCGATGTTGTCCTCGGTGCTAAATTTACGGAATAACAAAAACGGAAATCTATCGAATCGAAATAGGAAACATAATAATAATAATATCCTCATTTGAATTCATTTTCGAAGAAATTTCAAGAGGTACCCAAATTACCTCGAGTAGTTACGCTTGAAATCAATATTACGAATATTTATCGTTCGATCGTTTGTTCGTTAAATATTATTACGTTTCCGCGAATCAGAACCAATTAGGTACCCTTCGAAGTGAATTCAGCAAGGAATAAAGCACATTGCGTTACCGACGAAATTTAGTTACATAAAATTTGTCAAAAATAGAATAAATCTCCGGCCGGTTATTTTTCCGATTGATATTTTCGAAATTACGCGGCACCTTCGCCGTTCCGAAGTGCTGGGAACTCTTTGAACCGTAGAGAAAATACCAAAAACACTCGTTATATGATATATTTAGTTTTTGTTACGGGTTTTGAAAACTATTTCACCACTCTACGGTTAAGTGCGTAGAAATTTTCGAGTGTAATAGTTAACGATTCTCATTATCTCCTGTATTACACAGGTACATGTTTAGCGAACGTTATTTCGACAAAAATATTGTTCTTGAAACTAATATGATTAACCTGAATCGTAAGCTCGAAAATCCGAAAATTAGGACAATTATTACGTTTGACAACGTACTAAAGCAACGACAAAAGTAAACAGTTACAACTCGGGTGAGACGGAAAATAAAATATAACGTGATTCGTGGAAAGTTTGCGAAAAAAAAAAGTGAATTGAATTTTATTCGCATAAATTAAATAGATTTAATTTCTCTTATACTTTTTGACAGATATTAGGAATTTTGACGATAATTTTGCAGTTTGACACAATGGTTTTGTTTTAACGGCTTTGAAATTACATAACATAAGATAACGGAGCTAAAAATTCACGAGGAAAAAAATGAAAATGCGTGGGCGTCAACGGTTTTTATAGTAATTGTATACCATAGACTTATTGGGTACCGTTCTTCGAAAACTGACGAGTAGGTTTTGAAAACGATCTCAAAATTCGAATGACGCCGTGACCTATAACGTAGTCGATTGTTTCATTTGTTCTGCGAGCTCATATTGGAACTTGTTAATAAACTTTATGTTTTGATTTGTTATTGCATGGACACAGGCAGAAAATAATAATAAGGAATACCACGAAAATCTGAAAATCACAAACACACGTCTGCTATTAATGCTGCGAATTACAGTTTGCTTCAGGAATTTGTATAATTCGCGGTCGGCAACTGTGGTGTTGCTTTTTTTTTGGAATTTGAGCCGTTCTATAACTTTGCAGTATACGAATATAAAACGACACATATTCCAGTTAAAGGATTAAACGTTCTCGGTATAAAACGTCCTTAACGGCGTGCAATGTGCTATTCGGTAATTTGGCGTTTTGTTAAACGTGCGGAGATTTAATATCATTATAGTTTCGCGGCCGCGAGACGACGAAATAGCTGCTTCTGTGAATACGGATTCCGGTAGGGTATGCAATACATTCGTGGCAGACCCGAAAGCCGTATAATGGATGTGTGTTTTTAGACCTAAGCAGTTTACGTGAATTTCAAAATATTAGGTACACCGTTTGACTTCTGCAAAACCAGTCGAGTGAAAAAAAGAGCTCTTTCGCTTTTAACGTCTACTGAAAAACACTCAGCGCCGTCGCTGCCATCAACGCCGCCGTCGACAAAGTAAAACGCATTATCATCTGGAAAACTCGTGACGACGTGAATTTCGAAAAAGGAAAAAAAAAAGAGGTAATTAACAAAAATAACAAGATCCTTATAATACATATTCTTGAACAAAAGGAAATTTTATTTGATTTCGTAATGATGGTCGCGATGTGGAAACATTGGCCCGAGTAAGTTATATTCGAGTTTAGTATATTATTATTATAATAACAGAAACTTTAATTACGCGCGCGAAACTATCAAAAGCAAAACATTATGTCGGTTAAAATATTTTGTTAGGAAAAAAACAAGCGTCTCTTGTAGATGACAAAAAAAAAAGCTAAAAATTATCGAGCGCATAAGGTATACACATAACTACATATGAAGTCTATTTAACAATGGCCTGTTCAAATTGGCTACATACGAAATTGCCTAGAGGAAAGTATGGTCAGCAGAAAGTATAAACAAATTCGAAAAAAGCCGTGGAACATTTTTTTCCGAGACCATATTTTCCTCTATTAAAGGGGTATAAATAATTTGAAATTAAATATTATTGCTTATTGTGTTTTGAACATAATTTATGATAAATATAAATATTTGTTGGTAAAGAGTCAAACTACCGTGAAAAAAACTTCGATTTTTTCAATAGGCCATTTTTATATTTTACCATATTTTACTTTGGCCATTTCAATACACAGATATTGGAACATCGAGCATGATATGGATGATCTATAGGTTTTCTCTGCATATGTCACAAGGAAANGGAGCATAATTTGTGTAATTACTGAGTATGCGGTAATTGAATAGTTTCCCAATACTCTCCCCTACCTAAAATTAAAAGTGGATTATCAATGGATAGACGAAAATCAGCAATTTAAACTATAGAGCTTTATCAATAAAGGCCTGCTGTAACAAAGTGGAGTTCACCATATATTCTGTGCGCTTAAGTATTTGATTTTTGGGATTGGAACATCGAGCATGATATGGATGATCTATAGGTTTTCTCTGCATATGTCACAAGTAAACTCTGACTCTTTACGTATAACGTAGGAGTGTGTTAACATGTTCGTTTCTCGTCAAAATTATAGTATACATATTCTGTTTTCCTTATAATATCACGGGAATGACTCCAATTTTAGAGCGAGAGCAGAACAAACGATCGATATTGGTTTAACTAGAATGTATTTATTTTTTTCGTAACAAACGTCATTTTTTGATTATTCGAAGGGTTTACGTCAAAGAATCGTTATTGATGCATTCGTTTGAATTTGAAACGGTCATGATTTTTCGAAAACATTATATAGGATACCGCGTAAGCGAGATGGTCGCGTACTGGGAGCCACGGCTCCGTTCAACCGCGAAGTTTGCTGTTTTAAAACGGATATGAGTTCGATGTTAATAACGTGACTGTTGTTTATGCAAAACACAATGTTCATCGACAACGAGGGGCAAACAAAGTAAACGGTCTCGCGATGCGGTTACGAGTTTTTCAGTTTTGCACGGGAAACGCGAACGGCGCGCGCGAAGTATCTCTGTGCCGTATCGTATCCGCGAATATTCATCGGCCGATATGATAATAATATTGTACGGTATTTCGATGGGTGGGGTGGGGGTTGACGTTTTTTCGGATTTCGTTATCACGTCCCGGAAGTTTACGCGTGCTCTCGGCGTGCTATTCACGGTGGAAAAATCGCCCAAAGTTTTCGGCGAGTGCCGCGGCCGAGTAAAACGTTTCGGGGGCGGCGACAGATGCTCCGCGCGTCCATTAAAGACTTCGGGAATTGTTCGCCGCCAGACGCCGCCGGGAAAACGAACCGCGGTTCGTATAATAGGCTGCAGCATACGTACAATGATATAGGCGCTGTCGGAACGTTACAATAATAATATACTCGCGATATTATTATTATTGTATATATTCTATCGGTAGGAGTAAGTAAGATAAACTTTACGCGCGAGTATACGGAATTTCGCGACCGCCGCCACGATAAAATACTCCTAATAATAATAATGATAATAATAACGATAACGATAATAATAATAATAATAATAATAATATACGCGCACGAAAATTCCGTCGAGGACCTGCAGCAGAAGAAGACGCCATATTATATTTACGACGAACAGTAAGTAACCGTACACACGCGCGCGCGACTCGAAAATTATTTATCCGTTCGCATTGCGGTCGTAACCGCGTTTTGTGTTCCGCGCACAATATCATCCCCTAATGCGAATTACATGTACCTGACCTCTATCTACCGCGAGCGTGTATATGCGAAAAGGCTGACGAGTGCGTAAGTATACGGCCGGTACGGGCGGGAAGGTGGCAGGCCGAGCGGCCGGATATAGGTACCCGCGACATTAGACCGTGTTCGCATTAATATACCGGGGGCTTAATTAACCCCCGAAAACTCCGGGCGAAACGGGATTTTTTTTTATTATTATTATTATTATTATTTACTATTATTATTACGCGGCGCGCGTGGCAGTGAAACTGAAACCGGCCGCGACGCCGCCTCGCCGGGCCCGCAGGCGAGTCTTTGGAAATGGTGAAAAAAAAAAAAAAACCCAGAATTGTCGGCGAGTTTTATTTTCGGACTTCCGGCCGTTGACGAATCGGACTTAATGACCGCCGCCTCCGTCGCGGTCGAGGAGCGATTTTCACTCTTTTCACCGCTCGTGGGTATACGCGCATATTATTATACTTATACAGAGCCGAAAAGTTTGGTCCTCGGGGTTGACAAATAGCTCCCTCCCCTCCGTCCCATGTGCAACCTAATTAAAAACTTTCCGCCGGACGGGAAAGTCCCGTCGTCGGATCACCGCTGTTATATGCACGCCCATATAATACCGGGTGCTCCGCGATGGTGTATTACACATGTATTGTTCATAATATATACGGGGTGGTGAATTGTTTTGACCGACGACGCACTCGATCGAACTTTCGATGTATCCGACTGTACGATCGTTAGTCTTATGAGACCTATGCAATTAGCTGCGACCGTATTATAAATATAAGGAAGACAAAAAATATTGTATATCCAACGATGTATTTAAAAAGTGTCTCCTGAGAACTAACTTCAAATTTCGATAAATGTATAAAACTGTGAAGTGAAGGTGTAACACATCAAGATTACATGGTTAATCCATGATAGTTTTCCAAAGAAAAATATTGTAAGAATGACATCACCCTTCAAAAAAAATTTTAAATATGCCACTGTGTATATAAATTGATTAAATATTTGATTATGTTATGAACTGATTATGGGGTGATACAGACACAATTTGTAACTGAATTTTAGTTATTACATAGTTTATGACATTAACAACTAATATTTTATGGGCCACTAAGTATAATTTTTTATTTTGAACCTCTATAATACGGCAGCCGAGCTTCAGATTTAGATAATTTATAATGATTCGTATTTTTTAAATGTTTTATTGTTTTTATGTAACTTTTTTCTATTTTTGGTCAAAAACATGACGATAAAAGAAATTTAAAAGATAATGAGTTCGGCATTGCAGCAATCGATAATTCACGGTTACCGGTCAAAATATATCCGGCCATAATATATCCGACAAAATATGGTTAGTATAAATATATTGTCGGGCGATCCACTTCAAAAAAAGAAAAAATTACAATGACTACAATGTATGGCTATTCAAACTTGTCAGTCAATACGACAAAAATGCATCTACATTGAAGTATTTAAGAGGGATTGCCCACAATCTTAAGCTTTAACTTGAATCTTAAATTTAATTTTTTGTTTAATAAAAATGGTGTTTTTTTTTTAAGAGGGATTGCTCACAATCTAAAATTAAAACAAAAAATATTCATATAAATCCTAGAAACATTTTTTTTTTATAAGATATATTTAAATTAGAGATATTTTTTTCTGGAGGTATTCTTAACTGAAGTTACTTTGTCGGAGATAATATATAATATAAGATATTTTGACCTGGAACTATAATTTGCGGGAGATTTCCTCGTCGATTCTTATCTAACAGTAATAATTATTATTATTATTATCTTTAGTATTTTTCGTTACTTTTAAATGGGGTTAATCTGACTTTTGGCCACCCTTGCGGACGATAAAATTAATACTACGGCACTCGAGGCCGACGATTTTTACGTGGTCGTCCCAGTTTGGAACGAGGCCATATCAACGCCGCCGCCACAGGAACCGAAAGTTTCTCACAGGAAAGTATCAATTAAAACGCCGCCGGAACGCGCGGGAGGCCAAATCGTTAGGAAGATAAAAATCGTCGTTTGCCCGAAAATCGTGCCCGAAGATTCTCAATCAGATAATATTCGTGTTTTATTATTGCGTTATTTTTTTTTTTTTTTAGATTCTGAACTAAGCTATAATTATAGCAAAAATCCTCCGAGCCTTCACGCCGTATTTTGAGATACGGCCATTTTCTACGCCCGGTAGTACTTTATTCGATAAATGATGACACACGTCCGGTTATAAGCAAAAACTATTATTCATATTTAAATTTCATACTACTTTTTTGCCTCCCTACGTTTCCTTGGTTACACGACAAAAAAAAATGGCTTTTCTTCGATTTTTATGATGTGAACAATTTCTAAAATCACTTTAAAGTGTAAAGATACATTTTTTTATTATAATAACTGTGGACACGTTTTTGTACAAAATTCACAATTATATAATAATAATTCTTTTTTGTGGACAGATTGGAACGTTTTCAATTTATATGAATGCGAATTTGAACATTATATTATTTGAGTAAAAATTAAATACAAATCTATTATTATTATTGTATGGCGTTGAATAATTTAAAAACCGATTAAAACCATGGTTTTGACATTTCTTAGTACCAAAACCGAAAAATTTAAAAACCATTTAAAAAACCATAATCAAAATCGAAAAACTTCAAAAACTGTTCTCAAAACCAAAACCCGAAATTTCAAAAACCGATATGAAAACCGAAATTGTTAAAATTGATAACGGTTTCGAGTCCTGCTCAAAACAGTAAACGGAAAATAAATGAAAATAGAATTATTTAAAATATAATATAATGACATAGCAGTAGTTTAGTAACTTTTCTATAAGAGAATTTCAAGTGATCTAAGGATAAAATTGAATGTTAAACGTCATGGACCTTATTGATTGACTTGTTAAAAAACACGGATCGGGAAATACATTATTATGTATTACATTTATAATGTATATCCATTGTTTAAAATAAATTGCCACAGTTACAGACAGGGGAGTCTATTATGCATTATTTGAATAGCATTTCTCCATATCTCCCATGCCCCGTCCATATTTTGTTTAAGATAACCCAATCTCGTCGTTTCAGCGTAGAGCCAGGTAATTGGGAGCATAAATCCCCGATATACTGATGTCCAATTCGATCTCCAGTCTCTATCGTCATTAAACTTGTTTTCAATCAAACCCTTGGCTGTTAGGCTGGTAGATATTCTCGATTCGAGTCTCGAAGTGTTGTTCCTAGAGATGTCTTGAAGTGTTGGGAGTGTACTATAGCGTATATACATTAGATCATTTTTTGTAGAAGTTGTTGTGCGTTGATTATGAGACGGATGAATGTTACATAGCACTAAGAGCCTAGGCGCCATTGAGTATAGTAGTACAATTTATTACGCCTGCGGTGATACGCATAGTAGAGTTTAGTTGTACATCCATTTAAGAAAAAAATATGTACTGTTTAGCCATACAGGAGCTGTGTATTCTGTAGCCGAACAGACAAATTTATTAAAATTGCCTATAAAAACAACTCCATGAGTAATGTTGATATTGTGGCTTTCCCTTGAAAATCTGCATGTGTTTTATTTTTATTTTTTTAATACTTATCTAATAATGCACGTATAATTTTATGCATGTACAAACACAAATAATATCGCCCCGTGTATTTTAACAAAATGAATAAATGGAAAAAAAAAATAAAAATCTTTTTTATAAGTGGTTAGCCGTACCGTTTTAAAATTGATATCCGTTACCATTTTTTTTTTTCAATTATAAAAGTTTTGCCGACGAAAGAGTAAAAATATTATACGGAATTAAATTATATTGTAGTGCTTATAATATTATACTTTAGCTGAGACTGACATTTGTACTTCTGGGGGGGACTTACGAAATGAAAAATGAATTTCTCGGTGTTGAGAACGGTTCGTGGTTTTTTCTTCTTAAATGCGATTTTGATGAAATTAAATATTTATTTTTTTTTAATGTCAACGGAGATTATACGGTATTTTTGAAGTAATCGTTTGATAATTAGATCGCCAGAACACGCGTACAATACAAATGATTGTCGTTGTTTATTCGGTTAAATCCGGACCGGTGTGGCAGACATAAAAAGGATTTCAATCACACTAAAAAAAAAGGGCCTATTTAAAAATATAATGATTTGTCTCGCGAAAGATTTTTCCTTTGTTCGTTATTTTTTGTGAGTACGTGTAATATTTTAATTTTAATAAAAATTTGACCACACGGCAAAACGCATTCGAGTCCAAGTAATGCATAATTATAAGCAATATTTTGATAATAATAAAACTACCTATTTATTTATTATAGTATATTACAAGAAAATCGGCCAATATTTAATAAAATATTTTTCCAGTAAACATTTTGGAAAAGTCGGTTCTGAAAATTCTTCTTTCGGTTCTTGATTTTTTTTTTTTAGGGTGCAATTAATAACAAACAACACTTACTAATACAGTATGGGATGGATAATTTTTCACCCAATTCATATTTAAAGAAATAGGAACAAAATTAAAAATTTTAAAGATATAAAAAAATCCCGAACAGACGAACTTCAAACTCGCGTTATAATATCTAAATCGTTTTACTGGTTATTAGTTATCGGTACTATTGCTGTAATAACGCATCGTTACATTAAAATCGATAATAACTGAAAGAAAATACTGTCGGATCCAGCAAATAATCATATTAAAAACGATAATTATTATTAATTTCTAATATGTTTGTATAATAAGTATTTCGATATCGATAATATTCGATATTGATAAAATAAATAGAAAACATCGAATCGCTCGTGTTTGAATATTTACCGGAATGTAAAACTTATATTTTCATCATCGTGGTCGCCTTTTACGTAGAAAATATCAAACAAAATTTTACCAGTTATTGGAATATTTCTCTATGCGTAACTAAATACTGGACCTTTAATCTTGAATTTGTAACATTTATATTCGAAACCGATATATTTGAGGTTATTGTGTTTGAATACTGTAGTTCAGAGCACGGCGACCAATAACATATTTGGTTGAAAAGTAAATTTCGTCTATAAAAAACTTATTGATGATAAGATTTTCAATGAAAGGAACGTAATAAATTATTTTGTCATCATTGTAATTGTACATTTATTTTTGTGATCAGATTATGGGTGCGAACGAAATTATATTTTAAATCTATAAGTAAAAAGAACTTATACTACTGACACCTGAGCTACTGAATCGCTGTAATAATCTATTTGTCTACAATTATTGTAAACAGAAAAGTTGAGGAGGTTAGATATAAATTGATTTATTTGATTTATGTCTGTACGCGACGATTATTGTTCACGAACGAATCTATTATGAGCGAAGGACGATTAAACATATTTCGAAATGCCATGATTTTTAAAGACGCTTATAAAGAAAAGTACTACATTACACTAATATTTGTTTTACCACTAGGAAGAAATTATGGTGGACCTCGCGTACTTTGTAAATTATGCTCCAAATGAAAACGAAAAAATACTCAAACGGTATAGAAATATTAGTATAGACTAATAATAATTTAAAAATTACCAGAACATTTTGAAAATTTTACATCTAAAAACCCGACCTCATATAAATAATAAAAATGTTCTATGAAATTTGCGTATGTGTATGATCATTACCAATCGAATAATCACAACAAAAATAGACGAGTATATTTCGCACGTTGTGTGGATCACTGTTCTAGATGAGAAGTGGATAACGAATAAAAATTCGGAGCGAAGTATTTTTTATATAATATGCATGTTAATATTCCCCTTTTCCCAACAGTTTTCCTGGTTTTTTTTATCAAAAGTTACTATGAAAACTACTTGGAAAATCAAAAAATTGCCTCCATAAATTACCAATAAGATAAAATTTCTTTTCAAAAGTAAAGGTACTGCACTTGAATACCTACGCAAAATGTCAGAAACGTATTCAAAAATAAACAATAAACATCTTTGTAAAACCATAACTATATTCCTCGCCACGCTTTGAATCTAAAAACTAAATCAAAAATAAATAAAACATTATTGCCGTAATTATTCCCGATATGCTTAAGTTTTTCCCCAGTTTTTCCCATTGATATAAAAAATAAATTATATTCTTAATCCACCAAATAAACAAAATTTGTTTTCATAAAAGACGTAATACTTGAAATCGGAGGAAGATTTCTAATAGAAAAGTTTTTTTCAAACGGTAAAAAGAGCCACGCATTATAATAAAACCAATACATTTATCACTACGCGCAGAATCTAGAAATGCAGAAAAATATATTATAGTAATTTCTCATCTTGTAACTCTGCCACCACCATGCCACTATCTTGTAATTTCCCTTTTTGGTTTTTTATTTTTTGTTTTTTTTGATGGGAAGACTTATACTACCGTACTACTTACGTCACTTATACATATATCTAAAATCTGAGAAATTTACATGCAAATGCAATTTGCCATATTGTTATCGGTAAAAAAAATATGCCACGTCGTTTGCCCGCTAGTAACTTATATTATTTTACCGACACTGTTTTTACCATCACGTCAATCGAGAAAATAGGTTTCGAATATTTTTAACTGAATGCATTATTGCAGTCTTCAAGTCTGTGGAATGCCGAACTTTTTTGGAGTTTCAAACGTAATGTTTAAAAAAAAAACAAAAGCTACTTGATTTCACCATCGACCAGTTATAAATTAACTTTTTTTTTGCGCTACACGAAAAATAAAAGAATCGTATGGCTATGTATATTTATAATATAATAATAAATCATAAAAATTACGTTTTTCTTACTAAGAAAAACAAACTGTGTAAAATTTGTCGCAACCTTCGCATTACAATAAAAGTAATTACAAATTTAACATCCTCGTAAACTTCAATCGCCTAGGAATTGGGAAAAAACGGAAACGGGACAAATCGTAGAAAATTGGGAAAATGTAAGTACATGTATAAAAAAATAAGCTTCGTTTCGAATCGTTTTTCGTTAGAAATTATTCAATGTCGTGTACAAATATAAATTCAATTTCCCTCTATATTCTACCATCTTAACTGATCACCTACAAAAGTGACCCACTCATAGTGCGAATTATTCCCGTTATATTATAAAGTTTGATTATTTTAATATTTTCCAAAGACTATTTACATAAAATAAAATAGGTATAGGGGGAAACTTTGACTCTATAGTGACGGAGCTCAGATACAACACACAGTGATTTTTTTTTTTTATAAAATGGCATTATATATTTCACAGAATTTGTTTTTTTTGCGTATACCTAACCGGATATCATAAAAAATGTATACCTAATGCATATTATTATACATCTATGTATTACGTATCAAATAAATTAACGTTAGTTTGGCAGCCTTATCGTCGTGAAGCTCTTTGATTTCGGCATTTCGGTAAAATATCGTGTTTACTGCACACCGTCTGCATACCAGATGCCGGGTAATGAATGATTTATTCTGTATATTAAAATTTATTGTGTCGTCGTCATCACCGGGAGTACCACCGCGCAATATTCGTGTCAGTGCATGTATGTTTATTTATACAGTGTGATTATTTTATCACGTAAACCCGCGAAGATTTCGAGAAAATTTGATTTTGGATTGTTTGTTTTTACAGACACTGTGTGAGTAGAAAATTGCATATTGAGAATATGTTTAAACTTTTATAACAGTACCGCCTTAATTCTCGCATGTAAAAGCCAGAGTTCTAAAATTTCATGAAAATTATAATGCATTTTGAAGAAGAAAATAAAAATTCTTAGAATTTATTTTCAAATACCAAACTCAAATAGTATATTATAACGTAGTAATTTACTTAAGGTACCGAACGATTTTGGACAGTAAATAGTTCTTTAAAAATGATCAACAAAAAATTAAAAACCGTTCTAATTCTTTACATTATATACTATTGTTTATAACGATACAAGACCATTACGAATAATGAATATAATAAGTACCAAATTAAAGTTAAAATGAATTTAATACTACAATATTATATAGTTATAAAACATGATAAAAAACTAAACCAAGGAACAACTTATATTTAAGGAAAACAATTATTTTTTTATTTTTTTGTTGAAATACTTCAAGCAGCGTGAAATGTTATGTTTGAAATATATCAAACGTGAAAATTTCAAGTGAAATATTTTATGACCATAATCCTAATGATCCCGAAAACATCTCATACTATCAAACTATTGCAGATTTTGGTACGGAAAACGAGCACAATCAATTTAAGAATATACTATATTATAATTTAATAAAAAAAAAGACAAAAACCTCCCACGTGGTTGCAATCACTGTTGGGGAATTCAGGAAGGTAGGATACAGACGGAAATTTAATGTTTATCTATAAGAAACGATAAACTATTGCTAATGAAAAAACGATTCTGAGCGGAGTTCAGTTGATACTATTGCTTTGTCAATAATATATTATATGTCATATTATGGTAAAATTATTACTTACCTAAGTATTAAAGATTGTCTTTAATAATATTTGTTTTATATTATACCTATTCCCTTGTTCTCCCATTTTTTTTTCCAATATATCGAGAAATATATTTTTTTTAAAATAATTTTTATTTTATTATACATGTTTTTAGTCTTCATCCATGTGAGTAATATAAAAACAAAAACAGAATTTAATTATCTTTACTATCTCCAAAGATATTCAAAGGGTATATCTTCGTGGGACAGCCTGCTGTGTATATAAATTATATTTATTTTTTTTTGCTGAAGTTTTTGAGGCTATCAACATAATATTATCTCTAGTAATAATAATACCTACTAATAATACATATTTTTACATTATATTATTATTGAGCGTTCAGTTATACTGAGCCTTATTATTGAGTTAAACAATCGGGATCGATGGAATGTCGACTTTTGTACAACTATTCTATTGTAATTGTATAGTAAAAGATTTTATTAAAGATTTTCATTTTTTTTTCCTTTAATGGGTATCACGACAAACAGTCCAAATATATTATTATTATCATTATCATGTCGCATCGCTTTGGCGAATTCGTAATATGTATACATTAACGTGGTTAGCTTTATATCGAGTTTAAAAGAACAATCCATTTCGGAAAAAAAAAAAAATCTACATAATGATAGTATATATTGTTGTTTTGTTCCCCGCGAAAAAAAGAGAATAAAAAATAAATGTAAAACGAATTTTGTTTTGTATTTCAATTTACTGTCACTGCTGCCGTCGTTGTTCAATTAGTCTGCATTTGGACGAGCGCCTTCGTGTGCGATAA